GAAAATAAGCTACATTGATATTGAAGCCTATGCATATCAAGTCAACCAATCAATTTCAAGCTTCAGAAGATTCATTCTTGGTATACTTAGTATAGGATTATATAATGTGTGCAAATTCTATAAGCTCAAATATACACACACATTTCATTTGTGAATTTTCTCAAATATAGGTGTTTTTATGCAAAATATGTTTTAATATGCTTTGGACTATACAAACATTATTAACATCTTTTATTATGTTCATATAAACATTACACAAGTTTTTAAAAATTGATTTGAGCTAAATATCAAAATCAACATGTTTAAAACACATGTATTTTTAGTGCTTTTGAATTTTTCTGAGATTTCACAAATGATAAGAGCAAATTGAAAATTTTCTTTTCCAACATGTTCATAATCAAGTTTATAAACTTTTCTCAAAGTTTATCATTTTTTGAAATTTATTTACTATTTTTAAAAGGACTTTAAAATTCGTTTTTAAAAATCAATATAGGCTAAAAATCTGTTATCAGTCGACTAATGACATTTATTAGTCGACTGAAGAAATGTTCTACAATCTTTAAAAAAATTTGTTTTTTTATTGGTCTACTGATCAGTCGACTGATGAGGTCATTAGTCGACTGACCATGCTTATCAATCGACTGATAAGCTATCGTTTGACTACAATGATCAGCTCATCAGTCGACTGACGTAACCCGTCAGTTGACTGATTTATCCCAACAGCTTTTGCAGTTTTATCTTTTTGCTAGATTTTCTTGGGTTTTGAGCTTTGATTTTTTATCCTATATATGCCCCTTGCTATTTCACTTCTAAATATCATCTAAGAGGGTTTTTAAAAAGAGTTTTAAGAGTTTAAAAGTTTGTTTCTCAAGTTTGTGTTTGTGTTTACAAAGAGGAAGCTTGCATTGTCAATTGAAGAATTCATCCTCAATCTTCTTCATCCTCCTTTGTGTTTATAGAGAAGTTTTTCTAACTTTTTTATCTAGCAATTTATTACTGATTTTTATATTTGTATTATTGCTAGTTTATAAATTGTGTTAGATTTTATTTGTACTCATTTTATTACACACATCCCTATTTGAGCTTCTAGTATTTCATACATTATATATTAAGTTGTTAGATTGTGATATTGTGAGAGTGAGCCTAAATTATGTTCTCATCTATTATAAAGAACAAATCTTATAAATGAGCCTTATTGTGAGAGTATCACTTTGTAATACACATTTACATCGAGAGGAGTGTGTGGTGAGGACGTAGTCGATACCAAAAGGAGTGGCGTTGGTAGTAAATCCTAGAGAGATGTAGTAAAGCTGAGCACTTGAAGGGGGCGATACGTGAGGACTAAAACTTGAGCTTGTAGTTTGTGTATGTACATTATGAGTGACTTGTAGAGTTTTCGGTAAGCTAGAAAACCGAGTGTGTAGAGAAGTTCCGGCTTCCAAACCGGGTGTGTTGATAGTGGAGATTCTCCCCGGGAGTGAGGAGCGGAGACGTAGGACGGAAGGTCCAAACTCCGTGATCATATTATTGTGTTTGGATTGTTCTTTGTGTCCACTATTTGTTTACACTACCACTCTTGTTTATTTTCTCTTGTGGTTATATTCTTGCTCATATCATATTGTATATCTATCTTGCAAGAATAATTTGTTAATAAGTTTTAATCGATATTAATATCTAATAAGATTAGCAATAACCCTATTCACCCCCCCCACCCCCTCCCCCTCTAGGGTGTTTTCAGTTGAGAACTTGTATGCTTGTCTTTCTTGTTCTTGCGCTGATTTTCTTCCTCCAGAATAGCGGCTGTAACGTCGTCGAAGACTAGATTGTCCGTGAGGACGTTGTTTGTCAGGTTGATGATGAATTGATCATACGAGTCAGGTAGACTCTGAAGTAGAAGTTATGCACATTCATTCACACCGATTGTATGCTCCAACGTTGTAAGTTAGGAGAACAGTGTGTTTAGGGTGTTGATGTGGTCGGTCATCGATGTAGATTCCGTCATCCTCAGAGTATAAAGTCTCATTTTTAAGAAGATTTTATTGTGCATGGATTTCACCTCATATAGCTTTGTTAGTGTATCTCAGATCTCCTTTGTTGTCTTCTTCTCCTCTATGCTTGACAGCACCTCGTCTGCTAATGCAAGATGGAGATTTGCAATAGCATTTTCGTTCATCTCGTTCCATTTCTTATCATTTGTGATGTCGTCCGGTCTTGCACTGATGGTCGTCAGGTAATTATCTTTTCTCAAGATAGCATTTATCTTTAACGTCCACAGTAAGAAATTACTCCCATTAAATTTCTCAATCTTGAACTTTACCGCCATTGTTTCTACCACGAACAATAACTTCTTACTATTTCACGTAAATAGTAATTGTACTTATGAACAGTAATCGTATTCGTGAATAGTATGTACTTGTGAATAGTGCCTTATTTATAAATAGTGATGTACTCGTGAATAGTACCCGTCACCTTCAAATGGTAAATGATAATCTAACTTATTTTCTGATGTGGAGGATCCACCTTTGGTGGCAGCCACAGAATATACGATAAGTAGATATATACAAGCACCCTAAGTTGGCTCTGATACAACTTGTTGGGACAAAACCGAGGCCCGATAGAGCAGGATCGCAGCAATAGTAGAGCAAAAGTAGAGATAAATGATAGACACACAGATTTACGTGATTCAGCACTTGATTGCCTACGTCCACGGGCAAGAATAGAAGAATTTACTATGAGGAGAAAATTCTGGAGTTACAATCTTTCTTAACAAGGAGATACTCTCTCTCTATTTTTTTTCTCTCTTACTCTTCTACAATAGAAGTTATTTTTGGGATGAGTTTTTCCTTAAGGATTTGGAGTCTATTTATAGTGTTTGGAAAAAAAACACTATGATAATAAAATATTAATATTACACTATACATCTTTTGAAATTTCCAAACTCGGTGCCTAACCCGGTGCATTTTTCAAAAGTGGGACCCACTCTTTTGCTTTTGGTCAAAAACATTGGTTGTTTATTTCGGTGCCTGACATTTACAACACCTGAAGCCTCAAAAAATATAAACATAGCAATCCCCAACATATGCGGATATATATATTTTAAACACTAGAAAATTAAAATAAATTAGCATTATTATTTACAGTATAAGCTCTCCACAATTAATGCGAATAATTTGCATAAAAACATAATGTAAACACCGAATTGATCAAGTACATATACCGTTCATTAATTCATCTTTCATGTAGCAAAATATAGCACTCATTAAGAAAATTATCATACTTAAGCGTGATATTTTGAAACTTGAGTAATTAAAAACAGTATCGTGAGTTACCATCTTCATTGTCCTCACCCCGTTTAGCATCGTCTTAATTCCAATCATCATAGGTACAATCAAAAGGAATGCAATTAAGGATGATGTTTTAAATTTTAAGTAATTAAGGGTGGTTTTGTGGAATTGCCCTAACTTAGAAGTCGTCTTATGAAATAGATTCTAATATGGAGGTTGTTTTCTATAATCTTATTATCAATATATAATTGGTTTTATATTAATCTTAACAAAAAAAAATGGATAGAAATAAGTATGGATGCTTATATGTTGACGTAATGAAACATATGGGTGGTTTTTTGGAACTATGTAGTGTGAAATAGGGTATAACATAGGAATGGTTCCAACGATAAACTCTTGACCACCGTCTCTTCGACATGTGCATGCACTCGAACTAGGGGTGCTAAACCGTATCCGTATCCGATGAAATATCCGTAACCGTATCCGTTAGGATACGAATATGGTTACTCAAATCTATAACCGATAGGATATGGTTATGGATATGGTTTTGTAGTGAAATATCCGCATCCGTATCCGAAATATCCGAATACATATTAGTCATACTCTTACGATAGTTTCGATTCTTAGATTATGGATTTGTGGTTAATTTTGATGATCAAGATGACTAATCTTAACTATTTAGTTATAATGGACATATTAACGAACTTTTTTGTATCACATGAACTATGTTTTTCTCAATACTATATAGTTTTCTCATATCTGTTTTGTATCCGCATGCATATCCGCTTATATATCCGCATGTATATCCGTAACCGTATCCGATTTTAGCGGATATGGTTATAAGTTTTTCTTACCGAGGTTTATCTGTATCCGTATCCGTATCCGAGATGGGTAAGCGGATATGGATATGGTAAGCATCATATCCGAGCCGTATCCGGACCGAATGCACCCCTAACTCGAACCCCAAGAAAAAAGAAGGGTCAGTATCCAATAGCCTTCCAACTTTGGGAAGGTTTTTACATAATTCTTCTCGATTTTATTTATCTCACGTAGCCCTAAAATTGAAAAGCTCAAAAGGACAACCTCATCACAAATTTTTTTTCAATGAGAAAACCTCAAAAGGAAAACCTCTTCAAAAAATTTTTAGCATTGAACATTGACAAATGCACATGCCTACTGAGAAGGCCTATACTCAGACCCTTACTGGGGCATTCCACTTCATGTATATTTTTTGTTATACATATCCTTCTTGAAAGTCTCCAATACTCTGTAAATTTTTCTGAGGTACCTTAAGCTTTGTATTTATTTTCCTCTATGTATATATTTACTCTACTCTGCATATTTCTCATTAAGTATAGGAAAACGCTTTTTGGCTCGCGCTTTAAGCTCGCGCAGAGACAAAGGGGTGGGACCCACTGTGTCAGTGGGGCCTACCACCTGTTTCTGTTTAACACGCGAGCCAAATAGCTGTGTTGGTAAGTATAACGACTTAACAGAGTAGGCACGCACATCCCATGTGACCTTTGTACTAGTATCACTGCAATATATCACTATCACTATGAACACTAAAAACTATCACTGGAATTGTACTGGATAGTTGATGCATCAAAATACATCCCTCCTTGCATGATTTCCCCTCGTAATGAAATCGAATCACATTGGGTCTTACTCCCTGCAAAATCAATTTCAAGCAAAACAAAGAAGCTCCCGAGCATCTGGACCTTACAGCTGTTTCATATGATTAGATTTTATATTCTCGCTCATACAAATTATAGCAGCTGAATGGAGCCTAGGAATCAGCTGGACCCACATTATAATGCTGCTCACCACAAAGTAACCTCCATCCCATTGAAGAAACTACAACTGTTTCACATGAATAAAATTTTTCCTGTTCTTGCTCTGACAAATTTTATAGCTACTGCATTAGATCTCATCTGCTATGTTTTATTTCAGTCCGGAAAATTGTCTAACAAGGCAACCCCATCAAAAATTATTGCCAAAGAAAAAAAAAATTTTGACCCTCAACCAGCAAATGCCTGCTCTCGTGAGGTCAAATTAGCGTGTGGCGGTAACCAAGGCCATGTGCTCGATCAGGTCCAAGACTCGGTTGCTGAACCAGAGAGAAGATAGATTAGAATTGAACCAAAAATAGCCAAAGAGATGAATATAAGCAAAGGAATTAGAGCAGTTTCATACCTGTAGCCCCATTCGTTATCATACCAAGAGACGAGCTTCATAAAGGAAGCACTCAATCCAATGCCAGCCTTTGCGTCGAAGATGCTTGACCTGAAAGAAAAGTTCCAACACATAATCAGATGAAGTAGAGATCTTATGCAGTTCAACTGTTCAGGTATGGCAAAGGTTGTAAAACAGACAAGATTCAGAAGGGAATATCTACAAATATAAATGCTCATCAAGCTCTGCTGAACTTCAATAGAAAATTATTTATCCACTTGTGCACTGAATACTAACCCTTGAATCATTGCTTAATCCTCTATCATTTTTTGTTTACATCAATCTGAGGATGAAAATCTTTGGTGTAACAAGAGAAGAATAACCCTTGAACTATGTTACCTGGGTACTTCTATCAGAAACTTTACCCATACCGGCACCCGCACCCAAACTTCATGGAAACTTCTTGAAAATATGCATACACTTATTCAAGTGTGTACTAAATTATATAATATTTTAATTTAAAACTCGTCAAACACTTGTTGGACATATATCCTACAATTCACAGCTACTTCTTGTAAACTGTTGGACATAGGTCAAGTTTGTTTCAGCTGAAATATCTAGTTAAGTAAACTGTGATTTTAAAGGGCTGTTGAACATCTAGTTAAAAATCTGATATGTTCTCCAATTTATTATGTACATAAATACAAACAAAAATGTTATGGGAATTTTAATTCACAAACAGGTAAATTATTAATTTTAATATGTATAAATATACATACACATACATACATACATATATATATACAGTCGTGTCCCGTACCCTAAAATTTACAAATGTCGTCTGTACCGTACCCATTTTCATGCAACTTAGCCCTTGAACAAATGCTTAATCCCCAAGTATCCTCGTATAGCACTACTCTAGAGCAGACTACTATTGATATGTCGTTTAATCTACAGTGGACAGTCATCACTATAATTTTTACAGTTTGGATCAGTTCCAACAGAGTTGAATGTTTTTTTCATAAACAAACAAACATTAGTTTTGAAACAAAGTGTAAGTATGACAAAACTTATTACCGCATTTTATTTGTTTGTGTAACATTTTTTCTTGCCAAAATATCTGATTGCAGTCTACCCCCATCCCAAGCATGAATCGTTATATGCCATCTCGGATACTAACCCAATACCCTAATTAGGATAGATTCTTTAAGATTCATAAACACGAAAAGTTGCACCAGAAGCAAGAACCTTTTACAGGATTATCAGCGTCATTGCCAAGCTTAACAGCCATTATTAATAACGGAGCAAGTTCCCCAAACAAAGAAAGAAGGCTGGCCTTACCTTGAATCACCAACAAAATCATTAGAAACTACATCTTCATCAGTGTAGCCAAGTATGCCTAGCAGTGGCCCTTCTGATGCAAATCTGATAGCAAAATAAAGCATTAGATAACTATGGAATTTATTCCTAGGACACATCAGGCCAGCACAACAAGTGGTATAACAGGGATAATTTCTGATGCTACAATATGTCAGTGCATTCTACAAATGTTCAAATAGACCAACATTGCTAAGGTATCAAAGCATTTTGATACAATAATAAAAGTTACTTTCTGCCAAACCTCGCCAAAGATTAATTTTTCACCAGAAAACAATACCACATCAACACTATCAAGTCAACAAATAAAGGTGCAATTACATAGGTGACCCTACAGTTTGTGTATCTTCGCAGGTAACCTTGAGATCAGTGATTGTAATTACACAGGTGACCTTGGAATCCGACGACAGGTTACTCCGATGACCTTGGAGTTCTTGTGGGATGTTGGTTAGTCAGAGCTAGGTTAGTGATTTGTTTCCATTAAGACTCAGATTAGGGTTATAACAAAGATTACTAACTAAAATTCCATTATCCCCACTCTACTAGTCACTAAATTTTTCTATAACCCTAAACCAAAACAAATAATGTTAGGATTAGAACTAGGTTAGTGTTTTATTTAAGTTGAAATTAGGATGAGGGTTGCAACAAAGATTACCGATTAAAATTCAATTATCCCAACTCCACTAGTAACTAAATTTTTCTGTAACCCTAAACCAAAACCATAACCCAAGGTCCCAAAACAATATCCAACAGGAACTCCAAGTCCGCAAAAAACAAATGGCATTAGCCAACATCAAATTCGAGGGTCAGTTGTGTAGCTACGATTGTTATTCTCCAGGTTACCAGTGTACATATGCAGACTCACCAATGTAACTACACCGTACAACCATATACCGAAATGTAATTAACCCACAAGTAAATAGCACAGACAAATTAGACGATTATGCAAGGAATAGATTACATAGACTTCTACATTTCTATAATGATCCACCAGAAAGAACCATGATAATTTATTAAGTACTTATAACTTAACCTCGTTTTACTTTTTACTAGATACTCTGATGAAATTAGGCAGCCAAAAGAAACTTTGTAGTTATAGAGAATTATTTACGGAAAAATTCCTTGCATCTGTAAGAAAATAGTGTTAAACAACCAATAAGAACATATGTCAATAACAGTTAATTAGGACATGAAATATTACTTGATAGCTGCCTTAACATCATCATAAGAAGCACTTTTCTCAAGTCGACAAGTTAAGTCAACAACAGAAACATTAGGTGTAGGAACACGGAAAGCCATCCCTGTAAGTTTCCCATTTAATTCTGGTAGAACTTTGCCAACAGCCTACCACAACAGCAAAAACTGTCAGTAAAACAAGCAAATGGGTATAACGAAAAGAACAACAATGTGAGTCAATGCATTTTGTGTTGTTTATCTACCAACCTTCGCTGCACCAGTTGAGCTGGGAATAATATTTTGACTAGCCCCACGGCCACCTCTCCAGTCTTTCATTGAGGGACCATCAACAGTCTTCTGGGTTGCTGTAAAAGACCGAGAAAAACAAATCAATAAAAGGCATCTTAGAAACGATGAATCAGGACTAAATATCTGGGATATTTCCTGATTCCATGCTGATCATTAAGAAGATATGTGTTAGGATAAACCTGTTGTTGCATGGACTGTTGTCATAAGACCTTCAACGATACCAAATTCCTCATGGACTACCTACAAGATAGAACATAGCAATCTAGATAAGAACCCAAAACCGTAAAGGGCATGACAACTTCCATTTTATTAAGAAAAAAATACAACCATGGTTTTTCTTCTTTTTATGTCATATTTTTTCTAGGCAATATTTCTAGCTAACTAATGATGATGCACATTATAATTCAATATACATCAAGACCAATCCTGGCTAGAGCAGCAAGACAGTTGTAGAACTTTCATTTGAAATAACAACTTTCTTGTTAGGTCGATACTTCATTCTCATTTACTCCCATGCATCAGACCATGGAGCTGATATCACCACCTTTCTTTGCACCATCCCCTTGACCATTGTTTTCTGGTTTTTGATATCATATTTTTTGTAGGCAATTATTCTAACTAACAAATGATCATGCACACTATAACTCAATATACATGAGTTAAGACCAACCTTGGCTAGAGGAGCAAGACAATTAGTTGTACAACTTGCATTTGAAACAACATTCATGTTAGGTTGATACTTATTCTCATTAACTCCAACAACAAACATTGGAGCATCAGCCGATGGAGCTGATATGACCACCTTCTTTGCACCACCCTGCAAGAAATTACATAAAGAGATCAATAATCAAGGTTTCAGTATAGAAGCAAAATTGTCGTAGAAGTCACAAAGAATAATGGAAAGCATAATTGATAAGGACCTTCAAGTGAGCTGATGCCTTATCCACAGTTGTAAAAACCCCTGAAGATTCAACTACATAATCTGCACCAAAATTACCCCAAGGAATTTCTGCTGGATCCCTGCAAGAGAAAATGCTTTACAAGCCTCACATAAAGCAGCAACGGTATAGAGCAAGCCTCAAGCATGGGGCACATCAATTTTCTATGGTTCTAACTTGTTCATACAATCTGAACAAACCAATAAATGAAAGTGTAAAACGAAACATTTCACATCAGTTTGGCAAAAGTTATCATAGTTAAAGCATATAACAGTGAATAGGTTTTCCCCTGTTAAAGTAAGATGCTAAGCAATGGAAGTTTAAAAAACAATAGTATAGAAACAGGGGCGGATTAAGGGATAGGGGTTGTGGTGCACTTGCGCCCTACAAATTTGCATGTTACATGTAAGTCCTTGTAAGATTTACAATTTGCACCCCCAAACAACAAAAAAAAAAGATTTTAAAAATTGCACCCCATATCTATCTCCAAATACGAAGTACGTTAATAGAAAATTGAATTAGCTCAATTAAAGCGTAACGATTGCATCCCATCACGCTCTATAGTTTTATTATATTTTTTATGTTTAAGTAAATAGATACTTGTTGTCTGCCTCCCCAAGAGAAATGTTCTAGATCCACCATTGTATAGAAGGATTATTAAACTTCAATGATTAACACAAAGTAAGACTATTGCCAAACTGAATAGTTCTCTTAACTAGTGCTTGAAAAAATAGAATCAAGTATGTGGGTGCAATATAAATTTGTGCCCTACTTACCCTCAACTATTCAAACTGTCCCTTCATACCCCCCTTGAACTATTTTTAGTTTCATATTACTCCCCTGAACTATTAGATTTGTCCTTGTTTACCCGCTCAACTGTCCCTCTTGGTACCTAGTTACCACTTCCCTTTTATTATTTTTTGGGTATTTTAAATGGATTAAGTAATAGTTAAGTGGGTTAAGTGGGACTGAAGTGATAGTTCAGAGGGTAAGGTTGGAGTGAAAATAGTTTACGGGGTAAAAAGGGATGAATCTAATAGTCTAGGTTAGGAGGCATGAAGGGACAAAAAGAATAGTTTAGGGCGCAAGTACGTCCTGAAACCAGAAATTCAGACAACAGTAAGAACATAATTACAATACCTCTTGCTTGTAACCACAATATTCTTCCCATTTATTTCCAATGTGGACTCATCCACAACCTTAATGGTTCCGTTGAATATTCCATGAGTGGAATCATACTTCAACATGTATGCCTGGAGAGAAAAATCAAATCAATGTGTTTTCATAAAAAAAAATTAAGGACTAAATAAAGCCTTCAAAGAGACCATTATTTTCTGAAGAAACATAGCCATTGTTACGAGAATATGGGACATAGGTCTCAGGTCTCCAACAAGACAAATTCTAAACATTAGGACAAGAGGAACACGTACACGCACGCACGCACGCAGATGGACGCAAATCATAACTAATCCCATGGTCACAACAATAAGCTTTTTTAGCATTAAGAGCATGTTTGGCAAATGGTCAAAGTGGATTATAGTCCACTTTTGGTTGTCTGGCAAAAGGATTATTTTGGATTATAATCCACCAAAAAATAAGGTAGGGTACAAAAATAGGTAGGGTACCCCAGCTTATTGTTGAGTGGATTATAATCCATGTTTGACCAAGTAGAAGAAAAATTTACCCCTCATGATTTCACAAATTCCCAAGCTCATTTACTAACTCCCCCACCACCAACTCCTTTCCAGCCATTTTGACAACAATGGTAGATAATCCACCCATTTACCAAAATATGCAAAGTCTGAAAACAGATCATAATCCACTAAATTTACCAAAACATTTTGGATTATAACCCATAGTTCACAAACATGCTCTAATTTACTGATCTAATGATATTATCTAGTTAAAATATAATGCAACATTTAGATAATCTTAGGAATGATGCTACACTTGTTCACACATCCTAGTATTCTTCTCTTACGGATCCATTCTAGCTACTTTGTATAACTGTCAGCTCTATAAATACAATGATATCCCTTTTATTTCGTTTTATCACACAAGTAACGAGTCATAGAACACCAGTGCCCAAGTGTTCTGTAGAGTCCCCGTGTCGAAAACAGCAAAATTTTGTAAAGATGGGAGTATCCCAACAATATTGAGCATAACATGCTGACTGAAGGATAACAGAACAAATTCCACCAAAAGGATAATGGAAAGGATATTAAGCTAAACTACACTTCCCTATGCCAGATTGTGACTGATATAGTTATCAGGAGAAACTTTATCAATAAAAAAATGAGCAGTACCAATGCTGTTTAACAAATGAAAAAAAAATGATAGGTTACAAGCAATGTTTTTAGAATACTACAAGCGATCATTCTTCTATCTTTTACTAGACAAAGTGATCAATTGACCAAGATACTTTACTCAGAACTCAATATAGTTAAATGTATTTCTTGCTAAAGAGGAAAGAATATTCAAAAGTGATACATTTGTTCCATGCTTCCTAAAAATCATCACTGTTTAAAATATCTTGATGATTCATTTGTAAAATAAAGAGGGAAAAGCTACAACACTGCTAATTGCCCTAAGCCTTCAATGTATGGAGAAATTCCAAACATGTCAACTTAAACAAAAATAAATAAAATCAATCAAAAGTAACCAATTTACTTGACATAAGAATTCACGACATGTGAAGCATAAAGGTGCATGATATATCAGAAAATATAGTACGGGAGACAATAATTGGAAGGCTTGTAGCATAACACTGTAAGACACACCTCTTTGTGCCTAATTAAAATTCATAAGAACTAGTAAAGCAACAAAAGCATAAGAAGCTTGTGGTGTCTCACCATGTATTTAGAATTAATAAATGGATCATTAACTGCTACAACTTCAACATCATCCCTAGTGGTGGCTATGCGCAAGACCAACCTCCCAATGCGACCAAAACCTGCACAAATCAATTCTTGTTACATGCTTAGCTTACAAATACGGCATTCAAGTGACCTACAATTTCAGTCTTAAGGTATAGACAAGATTGATTGCTGCCAAAGTCTCAAATGGATAACAATAAAGAGTGAACATACCATTTATGCCAATCTTTGTCTTCCCACCACTCGATGATCCTAAACAACAAAATAAAGTCAAATAGCAGTAAAGCTCTTACGCCAAATAAGGGAAACAAAGATGAATCATTTCCTCCTCTTATTAATCTGTTACTTATAAACAGAACCACTAATTTCACAAGATAGGCTTTCAAAAGGCTATACTAAATGGGTTACCAAGCTCTATGCTTCAAATAGGGACCCATGATGTTGGCAAATATATAAAGGCAATCAAATGCAGTCTTAGTTCCATCAGCAAGAATGAAACTTACTTGGAACAGCTGGAGGAGCCTCAGTGGCTGTGGCTTTCACAAGCTGAAGGCTTCTGCTGCTAGATATCCTACACAATTTCGGAAAACAAGGATTCAGACAAACTAATTGGGAATGCTAGAAAAGAAAACAAAGGCCAACAATGCAAAATGCTAATAAGATTCCAGCTGCTTACTGCGAAGAGGGTACTTCTAATGGGGAAACAGAAGACCCGAAAATACTAGAGCTGAGTCTAACTGAATTCAGACTGTTTTTAGTACCATGGCAGAATACCTGCACATTAATGAGTACTGCATCAAAAGAGGAAATTTATAAAACAGATACAGAAAGAAATGGTAGTTTAACATAATATAAATATAACCAAATACCGAGTTAAACTTTAGTGGTCATGAAATAAAGAACGCTACCGGTCAAGATAAATAAACAGCAGAAAGAAAGATACTGCATAAAAGTTGGCTTGGGATGGACTAAGAACCTAACATCAAAAGTTATATGGATGAAGAAGATAAGAGATTTCGGATGGTCTAATCATATCCTAGCACCATGCCACAGGGAGAGGAAAATTTTAGCTGCTTTGTCATTTATAACCACCAAATTTAAACTTTCTAATACAAAATTCAAGAATAAAAAATGCAAAATTTTGAAAACAAACAGTTTACTGATTAATAATGATTAGTAGAGTGAAATAGTTGAAATTTCAATGAATCTACTAAAAAATCCTAAAAAGTGAAAGTAAACCTCTAGCCCCCTGCTCACTGAAACCAAACGAGGCTCGAGAGACCAAAATACAAGTGAAATAATGATTAAAAGATGAAAGGTTAACTCTGAAGGGTTCAAATACAGTGATTGATTTGAATGGTTTTGGACATAACCTAGCACCAAATCATAAAGAGAAAGGAAATCTTAGCAAGTTTTAACAGTTATAACCACTAAATTGAAAACTTTCTAATAAAAGGGTCAAAAATTAAAAAATACATAAATTTGGAAATAAAAAAAGTAGTGTTTATACAGTGAAATGGTCGAAAATAGCAATGAATCGCCAGCAAATTTCCTGAATAGTGAAATTAGAGCTCGTACTCAAAAAACCCTAAGAAGTCCAAGACAGCAAAAAATTTTGAAATAATGATTAAACGATGAAAGGGAAATTATAAATGGTTAAAATGCAAATTTGAGCGTGTTTTGACAATCAAAACAACTACTAAACTTAAACCGTTTATTAAAAAATACTAATAATTTTAAAAAACTGCATAAGAGATGAAACAAAAAAAAAACTATTGACTAAGAGAGTTTAATAAAGTAATCAACGAACAACAACTAAAACTTTAGGAAAAGCAAAATGAGAGCGTGAACTCAATAAAAACCCTAGAAGCACCAAGAGAGCAAGCACAAATGAAGCAAAAGATTAAAACTTGCGAAACCTTGCAAG